TGATTTCCCACCCCCAAAGGTTAATTTTCTTGTGATAACTTATCACATATGTCATTAATAATTACAGTTACATCAAAATGTTACATTGCTGCAGATATGGGATCATCAACTAACTTCTACACTGCAAACATTCATAAATGGCTTCCAAACAAAAACAGATCTTCTCATTTTACAGGTTAGATGGGAGTTTATTGTGATGTTTTACAACAAAATTAATCAGGATTCTTTTTTAAAAAAAATTCTATAATGCATCTGTGATCCATGATCAATCAGTTTAGCTGTAATGCTCTTCTCAAACTGTACAGTGTTAATAATTCAGTCTCAGAATTTCTTAATATATCTATCATGGAGTTTGTTCAACAATCTATACTACCTTTTATTAAATCGAAGGCACACATTCAAAATTATCGATATTCAGCTGGTAAGAACCCATTATATAAGCCGTCTTCAATCACTTAATGAAAAAGTCCAGTTTTATAGTGAGAATGGAAACAGAAAATGTTACCTTTAACCTCTTTAAGCAGCTTGGTGTAAATTATACTTTACTGTTAGGGAGCAATACATTTTTCTGTCATTTAAATTTGCATATTTCGCTAATAATGAACATGAATTAATAAATTGAAAAACTGAACTGTAATATTTGATATAAGACCTTTTATGATGCATAATCTCAGGAAATTTCATGATAAGATAACGGAGACCGGGATACATAAATTATTCCAGCAAATTAAACAGATTTAAAACGATAGAGTATAAAACTGTTTTACTATTATGCTGAATTGTGCATCTTGGGGATTCCCTCACCAGTCTAAAATCTCACCTCGTTAATCCCTAAAAAATCCATTTAAAAATCCACAAATATAAACTGTGGGCTAGTTCCACTCCCCAAGTGGGTATGTGTGGCACAGCAGACTTAAGAATCCTTACTCTACCTAATTCAGTCCCAGCAGATGGTACAGCTTAGATTCATGAATACCTTGATTTCCGAGATTGGAACGAACCAGTCCCTAAACATAACCATTTTCCTTTTTTCCACAGCAAATTAGTAAGTAAGACGAAAATAAACATTAATGGTCCACATCTTTATCAAGGAACAAGATCATAGTACAAACACTTTATTGTACTAAGCTTATGGCCTTTGAAATAAAACTGACTATAAACATCAGGATCCTACTCAATAATGGAGTACTAGAGTACTTGGGAGTACTGCTGTTCTTTGTATTGCACACGTCACAGAAAGAGTGGTTTAATCCTCCCTGAACCTTCCACAGCTGTGCTCCAGATGAAGGCTACAGGGACCTTTTGATCCTGTATTTATGTTCTTTGAGCCTTTTTCATTCTGATCGCTCCCAAAAGCAATAGCAACAAAGGGGAAACACACGTACCAGAAAATTGTGTATCTAATAATACTGAACTACAAGGTACTTTCAATATTTTGTATTCATTTTTGAACCAAACAATTACATTTGTTAATGTTAGGATTCCAGGATGGGCTCTAGGTTGCTGCAGTTAATTCCAGGAATATATGGTGAACTCATTTATTAGTTTAGTTTCTGTGATGCGCAGGCCTATATTAAATCTGAGACATAAGTTATTAGACTGTATGATTTTTAGTAAATGAATTCCAAGTTTAGTCTTAAAAGACTTTTTGTTTGTCATCTCAGATCTCATCTGTGCAATAAACTATTGACACTTCCCAAATGAAGACTTAGCCAATTTGACAGTGATTACCTTGACTGCACGAAACCATTCCAAAGAAAACTAACTTAAAAAACTGGTTTGCACTAAGACTATACTGTGCATTGTGTTTCAGACGTTAACCACAGATTAGGGAAAGACAGTGAGCCTCTACACCTACCACTGAGTGCAAGAAGCGGTTTGAAAATGTGCACTCTCAGCAAATCTCAAGACCAGCAACTATTCGTACACCCATATATGCAGGGTAAAACCCACATGCTCACTGACAATACAGAAGAAAAGACATAATGGATATGAAGGATCATAAAGGGACTGCTAAGATTATTCTACACAACAAAAGCAAGACTTCCAAGGTAAATTAATTACACCCTGGAGGTAGTCATAACATTTTTGAGTGCAGCCATATACTGGGCTTTCTTTTTTTTGTGTCACTGAAAGACAAAAAACGTCACCACCCTTTATGTCCATGGTGTGGATCAAGACATGTTCACTGAGACATACAATGAAAAACCAATTATAATCCATTTAACAGCGCTTCACCTCGGTTAAATTCAGCCACAGGAAACGGTTGTGGAAAGAAGCATAATAAAGTATGTAGGAAGCACAGTAAATTCTGCTTCATTTTTAAAGGACAAGCACATCCGAGATCATCAGTGAAAACAATCATTCTGTGACCAATTTAGAAGCCAAGAGTGTAGTCCCCTGTGCAGTTTAGCATTAGCAGACCTGCAGAGCTAAACACAGGTTGCAATACTTGTAATGCTAATGCATTACTACATGTGCTAACATGTTTGAAAACCATTAAAAACATATTTGATTTTCTTCAAACTACAAATCTCACAAGTGGGTACTTCAATGTGTTGACAATTTTAAGAGAAATTCAAGAACAGTGTAAACCGTTATTATGCTATAAAATTGAAGCGCTTTTTGTGAGGTATTTAAATTCGGATACAAATCTGTCCACTTCTCCTGATAAGAGAAGAATGCTTATTAAATGCCATACTGCTGGAGGCACTTGGATAAATCAAGTTTATCCTCCATGCATCTGTGATATTTAAGGACCTGTGCGCATTTTTGTTTGTCTGTGTATGGTTGACCCTCAAAACCCTCAATGATTTTATCTCAGGAGAAAATATTTGCATGGTGTCAAGACATAAACACCTGAAACGGTCTCCTTCAAACCCTAAAATGTAACTATTAAAAAAAACTATAATGCTAAACTTTTATTACAAATCTCTTCCAGGTGCTTATTTAATAAGAAAAAAACATTGACAGCAAGAGGGATTGAATTCAAATCAGCCTTTTTAAAGTTATCCCTGGTCTGGGGTGTGCACAGTGCAACATGTCCACTTCTATTTTAGAACCTAATGAACAGCAAAAGTCACATTTCCCTCCCAGAAATTAATTGCCATCACTTCCAATCCCCAATCTAGTTTATTTTTTGCTGATTTACCACTGTTGCCACATCATCATGGTCAACCTGGGTCACTGCCTAGCACCTTGTGGGACGAGGTGGTAAAGACGTGTTAATGCCTTTCACTTTTCTTTCATGTCTTAGTGAGACCCACATGGTAAAGGCTGGGTAGATGGGCAAGGATAGTCTACTCTGCTGCCACCATTAGTGAATCAATCTTCTTCAGACTTTTTTTATATAATATTGCTTTGGGTTTTTCTTTTGGATACACACATACTAATCAGCTTCTTGTTATCAGTCAACACCAAAATTGCATGTGTTTTATTTTCCCTCCCAAGTAAAATCTGACTCCTTTCACAGGTTATTTTAACCAGGAACAACCTTGCCAACCATGTTTCTCAAGGTAAAACACTGTGGAATCAGGTTGTTCAGAGCTTCAGATGAATTAGCTTCTGGCAACCTAGACGGGGGAAAGCTTATTCTGCCTCTCATTGGCAACCTTTTTCATTACACAGCAGTTGCATTTTACACAGAAGTGTAAATCTACATGCATTCTATCAATTCATTTTGGAAGTCTGAGAAGCTAGAACTTGGATCATTTTAGGCTGATACATAAAAAATAACCTTATAAAGCCATGTGGCACTATAGAATGGAAGTAATGAAATATAGGATAGAAAGGAATACAATGTTCCAGAAAGCACAATTGTTACTTTAGGAATTAAACATCCAAGAGCGGTGCATCATTTACTATAAAGCAACAGGTAAAGGTTAATTTCACGTTGAAAGGTAAAGAAAGGAAATTATGTTTAGGCTTTTCACAACAGCCACAAAACACATCTAACCAATATTCGTGAGGGTTCTGTGATAATGGCTTGACAAACAAGTTGCTAATATTGAAAAATTATTACTATTTTTTCAGCATCTGGCATAAAATAACTACAGAATCACACAAAATTCTCAAAAGCAAATTAACTTTTTCAATATTTCAATACGTCTTTAATCAACCGCAAAACCCAATTTCTATTCATTTTCTACAAAACGCTGAACAACAGACTTTGGAGACTCATATTGGATTCAGACTTGTCTACAGTATCAAACCACTAAGTAATATGTGGAACTACTAGGGAACAGTTTGCTATTAAAGAAAGTAACCAACGTAGAAAGGTCTTGTGACAAGCTTTTATCCTCATCCAGATTTTACATATTACATATTTACCCACCTAGAAGACTGTTTTGCTGAGGGATAACGTTCTTAAACCACCAAATTTGTATAACTGTCTGTTACAGTCCCCCCCCACACACACACACACCAAAGTGGTTGTACTACTGATACAATGTTGACATTTGGTTTTCAAATAGAAGTCCCTCCCATCTTAATACAACCCATCTTTAAAAGACCAAGACCTAACAGTACCTAAAAAAAATATAAATGTCCAAATATGTTGACAGACTGGAAAGTGTTTTAGTTTTGTTCCTGATTTTAAAGATACATAATCATAAAATCTAACTAGAAAACTTACTTTTATCTAAATGTTATTCTGAGAAAAACTTCATGTTATTATTAGTAGTAGAAGTAGTATTACTTAAACTAGAAGTCAATCAGCCAACCTATATCTAGTCAATAAAAGGTATTTAAGTAGCTAATCCAACCACTGATGTGAATAAAATCAAAATGAAAGATTTTAAGAGTGTGTCTATAAGGGCTCATGACTTACACTACGCAAGGATTAATATTAATATTAAACTGAAGTGACCAATTTAAGCGAAACCCCTTTTTCAGACCTAGCTGATAACCATGAAAATGATCCTGGCTTGAATATGCGTTAGAACAGACGGCCAACAGACTGCGGAAGACCCGGGAGACAAGCAAGTGAAGTGTAAAAATACCTTTTGAAAGCCTCAGCGGGGTTCCTTTCGCACTCGCCGGGTCTCAGTGCACTTTGAACCGCGGGGTCTCTAACTTTCTCCTCGTAGCTCGGGATCAGTCCGCTGTGGCAAATCTGGGCCACCAGAGTCCGAATAAACCCGCTCACGCAGAGGGTGTCAGAGTCCTCGGCCCGACAGAAGTGGAAGGCCAGGCCTTGGTGGTGCAGCCCCCTGTGGGCTCCTTGAGGCGAGCTAGGCCACAGCAGCTCTGTGCAGAGGGCTGTCTTCCCGCTGCCTGGACCCCCGACCAGCAACACTCCCCAGGCAGTGCCTTTACTGGAGGAAGGGCTGACACTGCTCAGGGGGCTCGCCACACAGGCCTGCTTGGTGGGAATGCTGTTAGCGCCGAGGATGCTGTTCGTTTTCTCCTGGAGGCAGTGCTGGAGCTTGTGGAAGACCCACTCCCTGCAGTAAAACCTCTTCCCCTGCAGCAAACTGGTTTGTGCCATTGTGAAAACCTGCTGTTCCAGCAATTCCTCATATGGCTCTCTTCATCTCCAGTGCTGTGAACTGAAGCGGGCTTGTCTCAATTTCAGGCCTGCATTTTGATCTCATTCCCACTATGGCTCCACATATGCTGCCAAGGCTGATTATTGCTCACTCCACACGACCTGGTTTGTTGCTGACTTATGCCAGAACTGGATTTGCTTCTCTCTTGGTAAATGGGAAAACTGATAAAGTGCAAAGCTGTTTCCTTGAGGTGACTTATGGCAGAGGTTCAAATTCTGTAAAAGTGCTGCTGACTCCCATCTGTAAGATGCTGTTTTTCTTACGGCTTTCTCAATTCCATTGCTCTGAGTATCACCTTAAATGCAGACAATGCATCTGGAAAAAAATCATATCATGTGTGACATCAGCTCTTCAATGTATGCCGAAAGCTCAGTTTTATTCCAAACCTTAGTTTTCAGTCCTTATAAAATGCTGCACATCTGGAATCTTTACATTAGCAAGGGCACCAGCGAATACTAAAATATGTTGCCAGTTGGTGCAGGGCTTAGTTACAACTGAAAGTTCTTGTCTTCGACTAGTGGGTAACTCACAGCTGCAAAGATACCACACAACAGATATACTGTCTGCATTGTTTTAGGAATAACATAACGTTGTGTTGGACAGTTCAGTTCGGAAACTTCTGCCCATGAATCGGCAATCTCCCAAATGACATCTGTGTGTGTGCTCCCTGCCCTACAATCTTCCTCACGTTTAAAAGGGGGCCGTCCTAAAAACGAAAAGTAATCCACTGAAAAAGAAAAAAAAAAACATCACCTTTCATGAAATGCTTTTGAATTGTATTCTTTGCATCAAACAGGGTCGGAATTAAAACGTGTTCATTTTTCAAACGTTGATTATATTAAAATAAAGCACGCTATTCCTGGTGACACCCGTTGCCCTTTATTTTCCGTTCCAAGTGCTGAATAATTAATTATTCAGTCCTCATACACTCTTGCGGATGAAAAAGGGTTCGTCTCCTGGTCTCGCCCCCTTTCTCTCTCCCTCCGCTGATCTTGCCCTTTCCTTCCTATGTGGCTTTAAATTTTAAATAATTCACATTCACATCCGTCCTGCATGGACCGAGGTTTAACCTCAAAAACCAGAAAGAGACCCGTTTTCCTCCGCCTACACATTTTGCCCTCACTGATGTTCTCCCACTTGTATTTACTTTAATGAATAGATACAAAAAAAACGAAAAAGCAATTATTTCCTAGTGTTTCTAAAAGCCTGTAGCTATACAGTAATTTATAACATGTCTTGGTCAACCAGTAAGATGCCTTACGCCTTATCGAATTTAGGAATAAGTATTATTTTATGAGGTTCATAATCAGCTTTGTACGGTATGGATGGAATGGCTAAAAAGGAATAAAAAACAATCATAAGACTTTACCATTTGTTTCCACCCGTAAACAAAGAGTTTTCCCCTCCCTAGAATTGTCGCAAAATATTACAAATGCCAAACTACTGGATGTTGTATTACAAGGCAAAGGGGTATGAAATACATTAATTTGGCAAACCTCACCCCTTTTTTATTTTGCATTAGCCAACCACCTATCATCGTGAATTTCTTTATATACTATAAGGCTTCATTATTGGTATTTAAATTGCAATAGCACAGTCTCCCTAAACAACCATCTCACATTATTCGAATACACAGCCTTTGTTACAACTGCTTCCCTTCTACTTTCGGGATGATAAAATTGTAATGGTTCTCACCTCTAACCGCGATTGCCTTTTCTGTTTTTTTATTTCTTTTATCGTCTCTGTTCACAAATCAGCGGTCTGTCTCATTTGGGTCTGCAAAACGATCAGGAGTTCCTTTGCTTCTGTTGCGCTTATTACAAACCATTTATAAGCAAATGCTCCTTTTCTGCGCTCGGTAGTAACAAATTCAGCCCTCTTTATCTGTTTGGTTCGTCTGTGCCCGTCTTTTCTGTTTCTCTCGCTCTCTTGCTGGAGCTCCTCCTGCCATCAAACACAGCCCTGGACTGAGCCGATGTCTCCTCCTCCAAACATCCAAAGCAGCTCCCTTACTGACTGACCGCAGACACAGATGCAGAACAACGGGCTCTTGGGATTGTGGGAAATGTAGTTCCGTTTTAACGTTTGACTCAGAAAAAAAAAGTCATTTAATGTTTTTATTCTTCTGTTGACGTGGAACTTTTTATTTATTTTCGTAGCAGTTTTCTTCTGTAAACAAGAGTGTTGTTAATTTTGGATCATCTCATGTCACCGATCTTAACTTAAACTGCAAAACATGGCACTTAATGGCTTTAATACACAAAATTTATATTATAATAATATACTACTAATAATATGCAATAAGAATACGCTTAAGACACACTACTGTCATTATCTTGGTGTGTTTTATATTAATGAAGTAAAATGAGTGCGTTTAAGTGAAATAAACTAAAATAGATTATACGAAACAGAACTAAAATATTATACGTTATATGAACAGCTACAGTCATTATTATTTCACTGCTGAATGAAGCCTGTTTCCATCCAGCGTACAAAGTGCCTTTTTTATTCAAAATGTACAACATCATCATAACTATGGCCTCTTAACATCTGTCCTGACCTTTTCATTATAGCTCCTCTTGGTCACTGCCTTGATTCGTCAAACGCATTCTTTGACAAACGCACCCAAACATGTTAGTCACTCTTTCTGAGGATAGATTGTTCTATGCCTTTTTGAACAGCTTGCAGCATTTTTCTCTCTAGTTTCTTGCTTAGAGCTCAAGTTGATCTTTTATAACATTGCACATAGTTCCTCTATCCACTTCTTCGGTTAACCATAATTGTCCGATAGTTTAGAATTACCACAGTCTATACTTAGGGATAGTAATTCACACTTCCATGTGAGAAGTTAGTTCAGAGAGAAGCTAAAAAAGCTCTTAGCTTTGGATTGTGAATACCATACAGCATATTCAATGCTGAAATGCAGGTGCCTTATTATAGACATCTCAAAACAGCAATTAGTTTACAAAGATCAACACAAGCATGCTTAGTGTTACATAAACTTCATGCAAGTTAAAACTAGCCTTGTGGTGCTCTCTTGAGTTTCCTGTTTTTTTTTAGATTGGTATTTCTTTACATGTATTCCTTCTACATGAACGTAAATAGTTATCACCATCTCCAAACGAGTATGATCCAAAACCAAATGATCTTTAAAATGTTACTTAGCATATAAAACATAGTAATGGGTGCATGTCAGAGGAAGCAATTCAGCCTATTTACTGTAGCTGGTTGTTAGAAGCAAAATAACCCGAGAATCTCATATAGCCATCTTGGCAGAGAAATACAGTGTTATGAATTTGTGTGTTTGCAAAATAGAGTTATCCAGAAACTGTACATATAATTACCTAATGGGGTCACTTCAAACATTAATGTTTGAACTAATGGTCCTTTCAAGACTTCATTACAAGGGATATTTTGCATCCTTAACCCATGAAGCCTGTTTTACAATGCATTTCTAAATCACATCATTCATCCCTTTTTTCTTTCTAATCCTTGTCTAGTTTATGTAGAGAGTTTTTCTAGTTTATCTAAAGTTAGTTGCAGAAGTAACGTCACTCCCTCTAAAATCTAGACAGTGCTGCAGAGCTGTACCACGGCAGAGAACCCAACCTTTTGGTGTGGCGGAGTCTACTGAGTAGCGCTGTGCTTGTTCGGAGCCCGGCAGGGGTGGGGAGAGCTGCGTGTGTCACACTGTCAATCCAATATACATTTACTGTATAGTGACAGGGTTAGTTAAAATAGTATGGTTTCACTATAACAGGTCGGCCTTAAGACCCGATAAGAAAAGAGCTGTGGGTGTTGTTTGTAAAAAAAAAAAACAAGTTTGGAGAAAGTGAAAGAGTTTGTTTTATTAACCTTCACTGAATTTGATTTTGATGAAAGGGAATACAATATTTTTCTTTGAACTGCACATATTGATAAAAAATATCTACAGGGAAAAAACAACACTCTCAATAACTACATGTATGTGAAATGTGCCTTGTCCTGCTTGTGTCTTGCTTGTGTAACAGGACTCATAATGTCTAACCAGCCTGCTACTGTATGTTGATGAAATTCCTCTAATTTAAGAGCGTTTGACTCCCCTAT